AGGAGGAGAGAGGAGAGCGTTTTTGTTGGATTCAGCTTGGCGTTGCAACAACTCTATGCCGTCACTGCGTTATAGGAACCGTGGAAGGGGTGCTACGCACCTGTGACTGCCGGGACAGAATTGCACGCGTGCGTCCTCGCATGCGGAGGCCAATCTCGAGGATCCTCTATCATGCGGTGGCTGCCGCAAGAAGGGGGGGGGGGGGAGGGGGCGAAGGGACCGCACTAAAGGGAGACGGGGGAAGAGGGGGGCAAAGGCGATACAGCGCAATCGTCAGAAGCCGTAGGCAGCATCTAGCGCAGAGACGTGCACTCGCCAACACACACAGAGGCCACAATGGGACAACTCTGTGACAAAAGGCGGCTGACTGGCGTGGTCAGACCCAATCTCGTTGTGCTGCAAGGGTGCGTCAAAGTGCGCCTGTACAGGCAGCCAAAAGTAGGGCCTTGCGGTCCTGTTGACCAGAGGAGGGGAGTACATCGAGAGATTAAGCCCAGTAGAGAAAGGGGCAAGTGGATGGGGGCACAAGTCGGGCCTACGACCGAACAGGTAACGCAGCAGACGAAGGCTGTTCCGAGTTTGCGCCTTCTTGGGGGTCAAAGCTTGCCGCCCCATTTTCCTCGTTAGGCAGGCGGTTGGCTCTGGAAGCAAACGCTGCGTATGCCAACTCGCGCAGAGGACCTGGCGCATGGGGGCCTGAGGAGGCGGCGCCATGCAGAGGCCAGGTCCTGGGGGGCGCCGCAATCTCCCAGAGACCTCTGATAGGAGGTGTGAGATTGTAAAAAGAGATGCTCGATCATGGGAGATGGAGGAGAATCTACTCGGAGGAAAAATGGGGAGAGATGTCCAGCCGCAGTGCATCTTGGAATTTGCCACCTGCTGCCGCGTGGTCGAATCCGCGCAACATGGCAAGGGACATGGCGCACAGACGCCAGGAGAGGCGCGACCGTGCAGAGGCCACGTCTGAAGGGGACAGGACGACCTCCCAGAGACCTCCTTAGGGGAGGTGCGAGATCGCCACAACATGACACAGTAAGAGAGCAAAGAGGATAATGGGCAAGGGCCATCTTGCCCAGGAGGTAGTGCGCGGAACGACTCACTAAATATGAACTAACCGAATGTTTCTGTCTTGGTATCTGGAGAGGGTGCCAGAGAGAGGAGCACGTGCAGGCAAGGATGTAGGACTCCAGTCGCCACGCGACTGGCCATGCGCCTCTGGAATGGAAGGCGAATGCGGAGCCACCGGGCCACCGGGCTCTGCGCTTCTTTACAGGGAAGCCTGCGAGCGTGTCCCATCCCAGCACATAGTACCACCACCCCCCAGATATCTGATGCCCATAGGCAAGAAAGGAGTCGCATTGCGTGCCTCAGCAGCATTCGTAAGAGATGCCGCGTGCTGACCTTCTCACTCTCTTGCGGCCGACAGATGCGGGCAAGTCTTAGAGCTGGTTTCCAGAGGAGGAGGCACGCAAGGAGCGAGGCAGAGTCAAGTGGGAGGAGGTATGAGGTGAGCACAGCTGCCTGTCACACCACTTGGCAAAGAGAAAATGCATATGAGTCCCTTCTGCCGCCCCATATCACCCCCAAAAAATGCTTCCCGCATCGCGATCCACCAGCTTGACCTTCGTATCGCCGCTCGCTGCCATCTGAGGCTCGGAAGATGACGCTGCCGCAGCCGATGACGGGGTGTCACGGCCAGGAACGCGGTTCCATTTCCCAGGTCCAGGTCTCGTTGCCTGGAGAGGCTGAGGTCTGAGTCCTGAAATACGGATTACCCGAGCCGTCAGCCAGCGTTGAGGTGGCGACGTAGCTGGTCGGAGACCACTCAACGTGACTGCGCGTGGCTTGGTGATAATGGCAGCCCTGCACTGGCGTTCCACCTCAAGAGCCCCCTGTAGGAAGAGGCTGGGGAGAGGCGTCGCACGTATCAGAGGTGCTCATAACGGCAGGCGTACATGCCTGTGTGGGGAGGCCTGCAACTTCTGCGATACCTCTGCTCGGGCATCAACGGCTATGACACGACGGGGTGAGGGACGAGAAAGAGGAGCTGGGGGAGAAAGGAAGTGACCCGCCTTGCGCGCCTGTCTGCCGTGCTGCAAGGAGTCCTCGCCATCGCATATTGTCCATCTTCCCTTGAACTGCGCAGGGAGGGCGATCGCTGGAAGCGTAGAGGAAGGTATGTAAGAATGGGAGACACACGCCTCAAACATAGAAGGAGGAGATATCGGGAGAGCATGAGATGTTGGCTTTTAACGGGCCGGAGAACGGCTGCGGTAAGATTTGCGGGCCCGATGCTGACCAGGAGATGTGGAGGAGCAGCTGGGACCGCGCTGCCTCTTGGAGGTTGAGGGGGCCTCGGTCTGCAGTACCTTATCGGTGCTCCTCGGCTGGATGGCGAAACGCGCTCCTCGCCCGTAACCTTCAGCACATGCTGTGGCCCAAGGATGGCCGTTGCATCTGCCGGGCGGTAGCGAGACGGGTAAAAACGAAACTCTCCTCACTCAGAAGTCGCTCTGGATTTACGGAGCATGCGACTTGCAGCCTTCTTGCGGAGCTTGTTCGTGCGAGCAGGCCTCGCACTCTCTCTGTTCGGAGGGCTCTGGTTTCTATGACTCCTCGACCAAGGGCGGAGACTCATCCGTTTTCTCCGTCGGAGCTATGGACGGATCTTTCCCCGTTGGAGTAATGGAAGGCGAAGGTGAGACGTCCCAAGGGAAGTGCTGGAGGCGATTCCGATCCCATGGCAAGGCACCGTCTCGGATCAGTGGACGCGTGTCCATGTCCTGACCCGGGCGGCCCTTTCCAACCGGGGTGCTCTTCCTAACACGTTTAGCGCATGCAGTTGGTGAGACCATTGGGAGGAACAGGAGATGGAGGGAGCGTCCAAGGGTGAGTTCCCCTCCCAGGCCTCTGAAGGTTGCTGGGCACGGCGTGTCCATGGAGTGCGTCTCCTCTCATCAGGAGGTGGGTGGGGGAGGGGGCGGGGAACATTCCCCAATAGCTTCGGGCGGAACAGGAGAAGGCCTGCTGAAGTCGCCAGGCGGCGGGGAAATTGGCTTGGGAAAAGAAGTTGGGTAGATGTATTCTGGGCGGAGGCTAGGAGCATCGGGAAGGGACCTGATTGCAGCAGAGGTCTTATGCACTGCCCCGAGCTCAGCATAGGAGCAGTCTTTCTGGGCGACCATCTTGGGAGACGGTTGCAGCCTAGGCCGTGGAGGTGGAGGAGGGGCCCGGTGCGGCTGTTGCTTCGGCTCGACCTTGATCCATGGCCGTCTCCGAAAAGAAGCTTCCTGCTTGGGCTTGGGAGCGGGCATTACTGAGAGTTCCAGGAGGAGGGAGGAGGGAGGAGGGAGAGGAAGAGGGAGTGGGAGAGGAGGAGGAGGGAGGAGGGGAGAGGAGGAGGGAAGGAAGGAGGGAGGGAGAGGGAGAGGAGGAGGAGAGGAGGAAGGGAAGGAGGGAGGAGGGAGGAGGGATGGGAGGGAGGAGGAGGAGGGGAGGGGAGGGGGGGAGGAGGAGGAGGAGGAGGAGGAGGGGAGGAGGAGTGGAGGAGGAGGAGGAGGAGGGATGGAGGGAGAGGAAGAGGAGGATCTTTATGCAGCTGCCTGCGGCAAACCCCGCCACCGTGCCCGTGCAACAGTGCAGCGGGAAGGAGACAGAGTGTAGGAATAGCGCGATTCCGACGACTGGTTTGAACTGGGACGAGTCGTGAACTCGACCTCGTTTCCGTCCGCGCGGTCGGGAGGAGGTCGAGTTCACGCCCCGCTGCAGTTCAGCGAGTTGTCTGAACTGAGACTGGTTATGAACTCGACCTCATATTCGTCCGCGAGGTAGGGAGGAGGAGGATGAGGATGAGGATGAGGATAAGGAGGAGGAAGAGGAAGAGGAAGAGGAGAAGGAGGAGGATGAGGAGGAGGAGGAGGAGGAGGAGGAGGGGGAGGAGCACGAGAAGGAGCAGGAGGGGGAGGAGGTCGAGGATGAGACGGAGGAGGGGGAGGAGCAGGAGAAGGAACAGGAGGGGGAGGAGGTCGAGGATGAGAAGGAAGAGAGAGGGGGTGGCATAATAAAGACAAATCAGGAGAAGGCTTCTCAAGGGCTCTCTTGGGGCAGCCTGGGAGTCCTGGAAGTCTCTTGGGGGCCTCTTGGAGCCTCTTGGTCGCCTCTTGGGCGCCTCTTGGGCCGTCTCAGGGGACCCGTGGCCCGTCTGACGCCTTAGGAGGCCGTTTTGGGTGCGATCTTGGGGTCCTCTTGGGCCGACTTGGGGCCCCCTTTGGGGCCTCATGTATTGTCTTAGAGCTATCTTGGAGGCGTCTTGAGCCATCTTGGGCGGTCGGGAACCCAAACAGGCGAGAACTTCACAATCTTTCAAACACCCAAGGGGGATCAATATTTCTCGCTCTCCTGGAGGGCCTCTTGGAGCCCTCGTGGGCCGTCTTGGAAGCCTCTCAGCCGCCTCGAGGTCGTATGGGAGCCTCTTTTTCTGTCTTGGGCCATCTTGGGCCGTCTTGGTGTCATCCTGGCTGTCTTGGAAGCCGTCTTGAGAGTCAGCTTCGCCGTCTGGGGGCGCGAACGAGTGCCGGAAGGCAATTTCTGGGGGGGGGGTGTGCGCGAGGAGGTTGGGGGCGGCCCGAGAACACACGAAAAAGACGTCGCAGACAACAGACGAGCATGCTAACACGCCCACTCCGTGCAGGCACCGTGGCTTGGCATCGCTCGGGCGTGTGCGTTTTCTCACGGCAAAAGGTCCTCGAGGAGCACTGCGTGCGCCTGGCGAGAAACTGCACGCGCGAAACCGAAACAGGCACAGGGAATGCACGTCCGAGCGATGGCCTGAGTTCTGGACCAGAAGCGTGGCCGCGGCCGCCCACTTGAATCACCCGTCGCTGGTTTGAGCCCCGGCGGGGGGTAGCGGGGCGGGGGGAGCGAAGGGAGGAGGAGGAGGAGGAGGAGGAGGAGGAGGAGGAGGAGGAGGGCGAGGTGGCGGATTTGTGCACCTTCGACGA